GTGGTCGAGGGAATCCATGGCTCCAACGAAAGAGGTTGAGGCTATTCGTATAAGAGATTTGAAGAGTCGTTTACTTTGTGTTTTGCAGAATCCACGACTCACAGTTTATATATATATAGGTGGCTAAAAAGGGATCATATCCAATATTCATATGTATGCAATTATTATTCCAATTACAAAGGATAGAGATTAGAATAATAAAACATTTGACGCAAAGTATTGTAGTTTATGTACATGTTTACATTCCTCACGCAAAGTACGTACGTACTAATTAATATGTACCTCTTTTGTAGAAAAGGATTACGACGAGACTCTTGTAAATAGTTTTTTTTTTTGTTATTTCTAAGGAATCTATGAAAGATAATATTTGTTTTTTTTAATTGTATAAACCAGTTTTTTTCAAGGTTTGATATTACTATTCAATTTCATTAAACTCGTATTCATCAAAGAAAAATAATACTTGTTTCTTGTACCTTAAGAACATGGTTCATCGCAATTGAACAAGATCCATTTAATTTGATTTCTTGCCCAAAAAAACAAAACAAAAGGTACATTCAAAATTCGATTTGACAAAGTTTGGTTAAATCATAACCGAGTAAACCGCATATCAATGCGACGCTATACGAATCGAGTTTAATGAGAAACCAATAGTAACAGTCATTATTCTCCACAAGAAGATACAATAAGCTAGATTAAACTAAGTCCAGCCACACGTTGCCTTTTCTTCCTCTTCTTATCACTGTTACTAATCTAGCGGCCAGCTTAGGCACATAAACATTGTCATGCATAAGCAGAGAGACACAACGTGTTGGATTCACATGAGTCTTCAGGCACCAATAGTTTAATGGTTTCCCATTAAGAAGCACATCACTTGCAATTGGCAAGATTTATCATTATCTTCAATCAGGGAAGGCAATCAATGGGAAACCATATTCAAATCACAACTGAAAACCCCTAAATTTTGAATTTTAAACTCACAACACAAAAAGCAAAATACATCTAGTTTACATTCCTAGGTCATCAAAATTAAATGGTCATAAATTTTTTGGAAATTCCGAACAAGTAAAAGAAAATTAAAACATACTCACAAGGCACAAGCATTGGGTGTTTTCTTCTATATATCCAGATTGTTAAGGCGAATAAAAGTTTTGTCCCTGCTTGAGAAATCCAGAAACGCTAATTAATGCAAGAATTGTAAATTTGTGTGTAGAGGAGAACTTGTTTTTAAAAGTGGAAAACAAAAAAAATTAAAAAGTAAAATATGCGGTGAGCGTGGATCGAACACGCGACCTTCAGATCTTCAGTCTGACGCTCTCCCAACTGAGCTATCCCCGCTGGATGAATACTAAGTTATTGTGTAACACATATAATTATGTTATTTAAACCCTTTTTGGTCACATATGTAATTTAAACGTCAAAATGTTATGTTTTACTAACTCCACAACTAAGTTTGGATCTATCCTATTCCTATCCAGTCCAATAGTTTTAGATCTTTATTGTATTAAAAACTGGGTTTCGAGGATATTTTCGTATGCATCCAATGGTGTAGGAAAAATCCACTTCTTTTGATTATGACAATTGTGGTTTCTCATGTAGCCTATCTTCGAAGGAACAAACTTGTTCGTCTACAATCCAATAGCAAAATTGCATGAATATGTACAACGACCTGAATCGAGTTCGCGGTGTCTGTTGAAAGATCATCTCAAGTTTGAAGGTGTTAGCATGAACTTAGAGAGAAGTAAAAGATTAAAGGGCATATCTTTCTATAGCTAATTAGCTATAAACAAAGGGCAGAGCTATATTTTTTCTAACACAATCAAAATCCTTTGTTTTCCTCGCAAGATATAATATGAAGAAACCATGTTGACCAAAAAAGTTTACATACGAAAAAAAAATATAGGTTGTACGTAAGAGGTTTAAAAAGTGGATAAATTTGGGTTTTGGCGAATCCACGACTAAACATGTGTAATCATTATTCCAATTACAAAAATAGAGGCTAGAATAATTATTGTAGTATTATACATGTATAAAATTCCTCAAACAAAATACTAAATAGTACCATTTTTATAGAAAAGGATTACGACGATGACATTCTTTTTAAGAGTTATTTTTTGGTCATCTAGATCGGAAATCGTAACAAATGTTACAATAGCCGGAAACACCGAAGATATGGCGCACAATTTTTTACTAATTTAATTCGGAAACTCAAGAGGTAAGACACGATAACATTGAACTAACACGCTAAATTGAGTTTAACCTAACCATAACATGCAACCCATTTAACCGTACTAACCCAAGAGCTAAGTAGTCAGGCATCGCCGGAGGTCCGTCAATATCCAACCGCAATTTTAGTTTTTTATGTCTTTTTTTTTGTGTGTAAGAAGGCTACTATTTCTTTATTTATTATGTTTTATAAAACAGTTTTTGGTGCGGTTTCGATTTTAGTATGTTATTCGTTAACCTTGTATTCACGAATGAATACTAAATGTTTCTTGTTCCTCAAGAGTCAAGAACATGGTTCATCGTGGTTGAAGAAGGTCCGTTTAGATTGATTCTTGCCAAAAAGAAAAAGGTACCAAAATTCGTTTCGATGAAGTTTGGTTAAATCATAACCGAGTAAACCGGCTATCAATGTGAAACAAAAAGTAACAAACCGGTTATCAACTCTACCACTCTTATTTGGTCCAGCCACATAGGGGCGGAACCACGGACGTTATAAAATAGTGGGCGACGTTGCTTATGGTGTGTATAATCAAATATTTGCCCAATGTGATCGAGGGTTAAGTCGCTCCTTGGCCCTTTTTGTCTTTTCTTCTAGACAAATTTTACTATACAGTATTCTCTCTGGTTGTGACTACAAATAGTTTTTTCTTTCTTTATTTGTCTCCTAAATTTTTTGTTTCCTCACGTTTTAATCTCATGATTTTATTCTAATTAAGTTTCTTATTTATCAATATTTATATGTATAAAAATAACAGTTAAAATATGTATTT